AAAAAAAAAAAAGCTGGTTTTATGAGGTTAGGGCAGCGCAGCCTGGAGTCCCAGCTACCAGGAGGCTGAGACTACGCAGGATTGGCTTGAGCCCAGATGTGAGGGCCTGCAGTGAGCCATGATTACCGGGCCCACTGCCCTCTCCCATCGCAAGACCCCTACTCAAAAAAACAAACAGAAAATCAGAATTTTAAACCATGTTACGAAAGACAATAACAATAACCGAAAACAGATTCTAGTGGGGACCATTTTGAGTAGACTGAACAAATAAATCTGGAGGTAATTAGTAGGATTAAGGTAGATTAGATACAAGGGAATACAAAAATTAGGGAGAACTAGAGACAAAAATAGTGCAAATTCTAATCAATTAACTGCCCCAACGATATCAGGATTATTCTTACCCTATACTCAGCTAGTTTTCCCTTTTTTCGCCTGTCCTTCAACCTAAAACTTAATTTTCTTATTTTTGTCTTTAAAAATATTTGACAAATTAAAAATTACATATTTATGGTGTTAATAATATGTTGTTTTGAAAAATATGTTATACATTTTTTTTTTGGTACTTTTTGGCCAGGCTGGTCTTGAACTCCTGAGCTCAAGCAATTCACCTGCTTTAGCCTTCCAAAGTGCTGGGATTACAGGCAAGAGCCACCATGCCTGTCACCAAGGGTGGAGTACAGTGGCATGATCTTGGCTCACTGCAACCACCTCTACCTCCTGGGTTCAAGCGATTCTCATTCTTAGTCGCCTGAGTACCTGGGGACTACAGGCGAGTGCCATCACACCTGGCTAGTTTTTGTTATTTTTAGTAGAGACAGGGTTTTTTTGTTTGTTTGTTTGTTTGTTTTGTTTTCTTCAGACGGAGTCTTGCTCTGTCGCCTAGGCTGAAGTGCAGTGGCACGATCTCGGCTCACTGCAACCTCTGCCTCCTGGGTTCAAGCGATTCTCCTGCCTCAGCTTCCTCCTGAGTAGCTGGGATTATAGGTGCATGACACCACTCCCCGCTAACTTTCGTATTTTTAGTAGAGACGGGGTTTCGCCATGTTGGCCAGACTGGTCTCGAACTCCTGACCTCAGGTGATCCACCCGCCTCGGCCTCCCAAAGTGTTGGGATTACAGGCATGAGCCACTGTGCCTGGCCAGGACAGGGTTTTGCCGTGTTGATCCGGTTGGTCTCGAATTCTTGACTTCAAGTGATCTGCTTCCCTCGGCCTCCCAAAGTGCTAGGATTGCAGGTGTGTGCCACCATGCCCAACCAAAAAAATAAGTTATTTTAAAGTCTCTCTCTGATAACAACATCTGATCTCGTGTGGGCTCTATTTCCTTTTCTTTTTGGTATCAGTTTTCCAGGATCCCTCATATTTTCTGATTTAACACCAGATATCATGAGTAAAAAATTCACAGAAGCTCTGGGTAGTATTATCTTCTCCCAAGAGGTGTTAGGTTTTTGTTAGGGCAGGCAAATTGAGTAACAGCAAATACCTCATTCCTTTTAAGACTTGGTTTTAGGCTTTTAAAGGGCAAGTTTATTCAGTGTTGCCCTTATTCCCAGGGCTTGGTATTTATTATAAAAGATGGCCCTTCGGGGGGTCAACAGAAGCCAAGGCAAGATACTTGTAAACAATCTCTCACCTCAACAAGGCTCAACCCCATCTGTGTCTACTTAGTATCACAATACTGCTAAAATCTTGGCTTAGTTTTTATCCTTCCCAACTCTGTATTTCTTCTGGGATTCTTGGGATCTCATTCTGTGCATATATAGTTTAGGAAATAGCCAAAGACTTAAGGCTAATGTGTATGCACATTTTCTTTATAATTATCTCAAGTTTCCTCCTCTCTGAGATTTTTATCTTCGTATCTACGTGGCACACTGCCTAGTTTGGGAAGTAGACAGAATAGTCTCTGACAGAAACAAGTAGAAGCAGCCTGTTTTACTTATGTTGTTTAAGGCTTAAGGAAGATAAATAACTGAATATTCAGTGACGAATTTAGGCAGCTGAAAAGGAAAAAACAAATTTTGGGTGCAAAGAATGTATTATTTTTGTTAGGTTTTCAAAATTCTAAATATTTTCTTCATGTTCCCAGCTATCATATCATCCTCTTTCCTAATAAACTAAAAGAAAAAAAAAAAGACTGCCATTTAAGAACTATTAAACATAAAACATTAAGTAATAGGAATTAAGAAATAGGAAGTCATTTTAAAAAGAAAAAAATTTCTCAAGTCAAGCAGTCTTCAGTATAACTCATGGAAGGATTGGTCTTACAAAGATGATGTGTTGAATGTAAGAATAAGCAATGGAAGCAAACAGGATAAAAGGATAAAATCGTCTCACTCAATTTTTGATGTTTACATGCAAGCCCTCTTACCCTTCTTCTCTAATTGTGTACAAGCAGATACGAAAGTGTGGGTGATATTTTCTTTGGCACTGGTGGGAAATACAAACTATTCAAGCCCCGGCCCACATGGTAAGAACTCTCACCTTAACCCTACCCCATAAGCTCAATAACAGACTATGCTTGTCTCTTCTCCTTGTTTTTTTTTCAAGTCATTTTTATATCTACTTGTGAGCCTTCCCGCCTCGTCTCAGAAAGACTTGTTATGTCAGTAATGAACTCTTTCATACCCGCTTCATGTCTGGGTAGCATCATCAGCCTAGACATCCAAACGAAATTTTGAGCGGAAAGGTTCATTGCACTTCTTCAGGGT